TAATATATTAATAGGATCCCAAAAAATACTAAAATAAATAAGATCCAACCAAAAAAAATTTACTATTAACTATATGCATTTTTTCAATGATAATTTCAGTCAGTTATTATAAAAGATAATAAACATCTAATCAAAATTATAAAAAATTATTTAAAAGATTAGATTTACATGATTATTTTGGCTGTTTCTAGGATCTTATATTAATTAATTTAAATTTATTATTATTTTTAGCTTACTTTATTGAAATCCAATTCAAATGTGATGATCTTATATATTCATCTTAAATTGAATTAATTATTAATTCTGCAGTATTTTGTAACTAATTCGAGGAATCATTATGAGTATTTGATTGAAAAATTTATCATATAAACTGAAAATCAATAATTGGGAAGTGACTGCAAATGATGTAAAAGAAAAAAGTTAAAAAGAATTTTGCCCTTTCAAAAGTAATTTGGTTATAATGTTTAATAATTTCTTCTAATGCAGGAATAATTGATTTATCTAATATTAATGTATTAAATGCCATTTTAATTGTACGAGAAACGAAACATTCATCATTATTATCATTTAATTTTGAAGATGTTAATGATCATCTTGGTGTATGATTCACCTTACCACACCTTTGTAAATATAAGTGTCATTAGGCTTGTAAATATGTAAAACATCAATAAAATTTATAACAACTTGCATTAATTTTTTTTTGTATTTTGTTGATTTTGTATTTTCTTCCAAATTATTCTGTTTAGGATGGTTTATTGGTTGCCATATTACTAAAAGCAAATATAGATTGCTTTAGCAAATTATATTTTATTACACTGAATTGTTGATTATTAAAAACGAAAGAAATTTTTTAAGAAAAAAAAATTTTTTTTTGATATAACGATAACGTTTTGATCAAGAAACAATTATGTAATCAAAATTTATATGTTACACTGGTGACGAAAAGTTTTGCCTGTGACTCAAGATTCTGAAATTTAATTCTGATCGGCAAGTCAATTACATCAACTGTTCACAAAGTTCATATCGTCATATAGTCATATAAACCCTTTCTGACCTTCCCCTTGGCTTCAAAAAATCAAAACAAAACGACTCAACGACCAAAAGACCGTCAGAGTAATTGGCTTGACTCAAAAACTCGCGATAAAAGCTTAGGGGTTTCCTTTACCTGCTCGAATTAAGGTAATTTACAAGTTTCTCATGATTTATATTCAAAAATCTTTGTCAAATTTCCATAATTAACGTTTATATTGTTTTATTTATTATAATATTGTAGCATGGAACCTACACCAACTTCTACACAGGAAGAGATACTTGCTGGTGATAATCCTTTAAACTATAATACAACTTCAAATCAATATGGTTCAAATTCTTTTTCAACTCCAACTCGACCTTCTGTTCGTTGTCCTGCATTGACCGTCTTTCTTCATCAGCTCAATTTATCGCAATATCATAGCCTATTTGTTGAGGCCGGAGTTGGAGAAAATGACCTTGAACAGTTACTTGGTTTTGACGAAGCGGAGCTTAAAGAAGTTATGTCTGCTATATCTATGAAACCTTTTCATTCTGCCGCATTTAAAAAAGGGATTAGGGAATTACGACAAAATTTCTCTCCAATGTTATCGTCTGGCCATTCGTATCAATCAATACCTTTAACATATCCAAACGTTCAACCGACGATGCCTGTGGTAAGTTTTTAAGTTACCCATATTTTTGTTTTATTTATTATTTCATTTCATTGAAATAATTAATATTCAAAAAAAATCATTATCATAATTAAATATTATATATAATCTAGTCTCCCGTTGAGTTTCAAACAGGTTCTATGAGTCCAACACGCAAATTGGTAAAGATAGCTCCAGCAGGTGAAAAGACACCAACGTATTTAGATAATAAACCTACAAAACCTGCAAAGATGCAACCTCCATTTTTGCATAATACGGTTCAACCAATGCAAGAAGATCAAGATGTATTTATGGAACACGAACAAACACCTCAAGATATTCTTTCTACACCTACAAATATTATTCTTTCAGAAAGTTCAAATTCGTTACCGATCAATAATTCCACAACTTCAAAGGATGTTATTATACATCATGCGACCATTTATGGAAAGAATAGTCCAAGGCAATTGACCTCATATGAACAGGCTATTAATTGTGCAGCTATCGAGTTGGCTCTTCAAGATCCAGCTTTAGTGGCTAATAAAGGAATGTTATTTGAAAAGGCCAAAGAAAAACTTTTGCGTGAGGGATATAGTTACAAACGTGGTGCATCACGCTCAAAATTAAATCCGAATGCCCCTAAACCAGGTTCGAGAGCATCACGCGCAACTCTTCGTGCTAAGAGAAATGCACATGCTGCTCAAAATAGTGAACATCGAAACGCAAGGATTGCGGAATTAGAACGTAAATTGAAAGTTAAAGAGACACAGTATGAAATGGCTATAGAAGTTGTGAGGTCCAAATCAACACAAAAAGATTCTGACAAGGCGCAAATAGCCTTAGAAGAACTTGAAAAGGAGAAAATTGAAATGGGTAAGGAGTTGGCAACTTTGAAAAGTAAAGAACGTAAACATCGATGGTATGAACAAAAGAAAAAAGAAAGGATGGATTCTGGATTCGATGAAAGTGTTGAAGAATCTTTTAATGATGATAATAATAATGATGAACCAAAAGATAACGTTAAACTTGAAAATTCTATAATAGAAGCAGAAGAGTAAAAAGATGGAAATTATTATTATTATTTTTATTTTAAATTCTATCTTTCAAAAGAAATTTTTTCTTGAATTTACTTTATTGTGGTTTTTTTAATAAGGCACTTGTATATATATATATAAAGTCTCTTTTTTATAAATCGAAATTTTTTTTTACGTTTTTAGGTTCCAACCTTTAACGTATTTGTTGAGATGAACTATTTTCCTTTGACAACATTTAAAGAAGTTAATGGAATATTATATTGTTGTGAACAATCCAATACTGATGATGAAAGAAGCAACAAATTCTACATCTCATGATATATAAAATGGATAAAGAATCGATAATGTGTTGAATTTCTTTATTTCTTTAATATGGAAGTATTAATTAATTCGTTTAAAAATATTTCCCTGCCTATTTTTTTTTATCTTTATTGCCTGTCTCTTCATTTCCTTTAAAAAAAAAAAAAAATAAAAAGGTTTTTTTGCTTAATTATATATTATTTAAGTTGAAAAATTTTTTTATTTTAAAAAGTGTCATAATTTTATAGCTTTTTCTTTTTAGAATAAAAAATATAATTTAATTATTTTAATTTCTCAACCGATTTTTTTTTTTTTATTCTCTTTTTTTTTTTTTTTTAACAGATTCATTAGTTTATGAAACTTTTAATAAAAGCAGATAGATATTCTTTACAGATTCAAAATCGACAAAATTGGCATGTTGTCCCTTTCTCCCTTTTTTTAAAGAACAAGCTAAACCTTACCGGTAAATAAAGTAAAAATACAAGATTTTATTCGTTATTCAAGAACGCCACTAACTGTTCTAATTCACGTCGATCAGGAATATATAGATCGCAATTGGGTTTGGCAACAATTATTTTTGCTTTCTACGGCCACCACGTTTGGAAGGTCCAAATGACGTTAGAACAGCATCCGATATTTTTCTAGACCTACCACGCTTTGCTGGTGGTGCTGGAGTTCTTACAGATTCTGAAGCATCCGATTTTCTTGCATTTCTTGTTCTTCTGCCGCTTTTCTTTGCATCTGCTAAATTTAAATTTTTAAAAGGTGTGAGTGAAAAGTGATCAAATATATATTTTGATGATCATCTGATACATAACCTTCAGGTTCAGGTGATAATGTTTCGATTGAAGCGGTATGCGAAGGAGTGGACGAAAGCTCTCTTTTTCCCTTTTGAGTCTTTGAAGGCGCCGGTGAAGGTGAAGCACCACGTGAAGAACCGGCCTTTCGATGCTCAGCAATGAGATTATAATATTCATCCATAGGTAGACTAAATTCTGCATGTGGTTTATCCTCATCACCTTCATCATCGAATTCACGTTCCTATAAAAATATGTATGAAAATTAGCCCGAATTTTTGATAATATTCCGAGTGTATAAATAAATAATTATTTACCAATTCTTCAAGCTTTTCTACGTTGAAATATTTACTAAACTGATCCCAAAGTTGTGGTATTGAACATTTTACCGGACTGTTTTCATTAAAGTCACGATGTATATTCACCATACGAAAATGTCTATGGATTCCTATAATAAACGTTTTATAAAAAATTATGGTGGCAATTAAAAAGTAAGTAAATATAGAATTTCAACTTACCAACTGGCCTATTCTTCATAACGGCACGAAAAAACTCAATTTCCATTTTAGCGTCCATACTGAAAATAAAAATATGGAAAAAAAAGAAAAAAAAAAGAGTATGGGAAAAGAAACAAAAAAATGAAATAAGGTGAAGTTTGAAAATTGCAAATAAGTCAAATGTGTTGTCTATTATTGACTATTGGAGAATTTGTCCTCGTGGACGTCGGTCAATCGAAATGCGCAGTTACAAACTTTTCTGCAAGTTGAAAATCTTTTTTCTAGATTCACGTATTTACGCGGGAACTATTTTCAATCTGTAAATATTGAAACATTTCTAATTAGGACATGAAAAGAGTTGATAATCACCTGCTTTTCCTGCCTTTTCTCAATGAACATCCGGATGTTTGAAGTGTGTGTTACTTTTGATTACAAGATAACCACCGCAAAACCAATAATTTACCCTTTTATTTCAAATATAGAATTTAGCTTATTTGCTCTCTTTTTTTCTCTCTCTCTCTCTCTTTTTTTTTTTCTTTGCGTTTCTTACATTTGATTAATAATCAACTCCGACTAACTATCTAATACATCTTTACGTTGTAAAAAAAAAGTTTGCGCGAGATTTACATGATTCAAAAGAATTTTTTCAAATCCTTTGATTCTGAGAATAAGCTTAGATTTTAAAGGAGTTCATTAACTCTATAAAGAATAATGGCAGATAAGATTGTTAACGAGAATAGTACAGATACGCAACCTATTATTCGTTTGGCACCACTTAATGTGCCGTTTAAAAGACGACGTCAAACAGCAGTAGTTTTCATGTGGCTGGTTTCTTTACCGGCAACTCTTTTTGTTTTCTTCATATCTTGCACGATAGTTTTCTTTTTACCATGGATCATTGCTTATTTGTTATTTGTCCTTTTTGACATTGCACCGGAAAATGGCGGTAGAAGGTTTGAATTCGCCAGAAAAGCTCCCTTTTGGAGATGGTACGCTGATTATTTTCCAATAAAACTAATTAAGGTATGTTCAAGAATTGAAAGGTCTTTTTGATTTGAAGAAATTGAAAATTTAAACGAATTCAATTTAATTATTAGCAAGTCGATTTAGATCCAACAAAAAATTACGTTTTTGGATATCATCCACATGGAGTTATTTCAGTTGGAGCATGGACAAATTTTGTTACTGAAGCAAATAATTTCTCCAAATTATTTCCCGGAATTACATGTCGTTTATTAACTCTCACGACTAATTTTAATATTCCACTTTATCGTGATTATTTAATGGCTCAAGGTTGTGCTTCAGTATCCAGACAATCTTGTGAAAATATTTTAAGGAAAGGTCATGGGCATTCCATTTTAATTGTAGTTGGTGGTGCTGGGGAAAGTTTAAATGCGCGTCCCGGAGTTTACGATTTAGTTTTAAAAAGAAGGTTAGGTTTCATAAAATTAGCCGTTCGTAACGGGTAAGTCATTTAAAAGAAAGCGGATCATTTTCCTATTCGAGTATGCAATGGATTATTAACTCATGATTTGATGTGAAAAAGAGCTTGTCTGTGTCCTGTATTTTCATTTGGAGAAAATGATATATGGGATCAGGCTGATAATCCCAAAGGAGGCAAAATCTGGAAGGTTCAAAAGACGATACAAAAATTATCCGGTTGGACGATGCCTCTTTTTCATGGTCGTGGTGTATTTAATTGTAAGTGACAACAAAATAAAAAGAATATATATTACAATTTACAATTTATTTTATTAATATCATACTCTTGTTGTAGATAACTTTGGTGTTTTACCTCACAGGAGACAAATTACAACAGTTGTTGGAAAACCAATTCCGGTTGACAAAATTGAAAATCCAACAGAAGAACAACTCCTTAAGGTACAAGAGAAATATATCGAAGAGTTATACAATATTTGGAATCAATATAAAGACGTATATGCAAAGAATAGAGTGAGAGAATTAACCCTTATCGAGTAAAATCAAAAAAAAAAAAATTTTTTTGACAAATATAAATAAATTTTAAAATTCGAAATTATTTATTAATTTCATAAATCGGCAAAAAATGAATTTATTTCACTATCTAATGTTTGTTCTTTACTCTTGTTTTTATTTCCTCTTGATTTTTCATCCATATCCAAATCCATATTTTCATCATCTTTATCGCTTTTCTTTTCATCCTCTTCACCTTCACCTTCATCCTCATCCTCATCATAAATATATCTTATATCCCAAAATTTTACAGTGTTATCATGAGAACAACTTGCTAATAAATTATTATCATGTGATAATTTTAAACATTCGATAGGAAAATCTTCATGATCTCCTATTACGCCTAAAAACTTATTTGGTAATATACCAATAAGTCTAATTATACCATCAGAAGAACCTGTACAAACCAAATCCTCGTTAATTTTAACCAACGTATCAATTGATTGTGGATGACCTACTATTCTATCAGATGTATCTCCCCAATTATTCCATGTAAATAAATTTATAATTCCTTCTTGTGTCCCTACTACAGCTTTTCTTTCATCCTAAATTTTTAAAAAAAAGATTGAAGAAGGTATGTTTCGAGGTAGGTCTATGAGTGAAATTTACCTTAACTATGGTTACAGACAATAATTCATCGTCTTGGTTATCAGACATTGCAATTAAATTTGGTCTACGTATATCGTAAATTGATAATGTTCCGTCACCACTTTAACATCAAAAAGGAAATTTAGATTAAAAGTTCGTTTTAAAGGAGGGGGGGAAAGTATTAGTATTTCAACGTTACCTGGTAGATAAGAGAGTTCTTGTATCTGAACGAAATGCAAAATCAGAAATGAAATCTTGGTGTTCGGAATATTCCATAATTTCATTTCCATTTCTTATATCCCATAACTAAATGAATGAAATGAGAATAAAAAAAAAAGGCTTTTTTTTTTAAAAAAAAGGTCTCTTCAATGCTAAAATGAACTACTTTGATAATCCCGTTGTCATCGCCTGTAGCTAATGTAGTTTCGTTTAATCGTAATATACAATAGATGGGATAACTAATTATAAATCGATTTATGATTAATAGCTTTCTCTTCAAGAATTTGAATTAAGAAAAAGATATTTACTCGTGTGAATCAACTTTCTTTACGAGAGTTTCCCCAGTTTCAAGATTTATTACTTGTATCGATCTATCTTTTGATACACTAAACAAAGCTGAATTAAAATTAAAAAAAGAAATTAATTTTATTTTTATTTTTATGGTTTTTTTTTGAAAATCCATAAATACATACCAGCACCATCATGACTAAATTCTAAACCACGACAAGATTTGTTATGTGGACGAATTGATAATATGTTTATATTCTCATTGTTATCGTATCGATGACTAAAAAGATAAAAAATGATTAAAGTTACAAATTAAGTTTTAATTGACAGTTGAATGATCATGATGTACCAGAATACTTCTCCAGTTATTAACCCTGTCGCAATGATATTTTCGGATGGGTGAAATGCTATATCGAAAACTTGATTATCGAAATCTAACGCATCCGGTTGAATTTGTGTGGTCTTAAAAAAAAAAAAAAAATCGGATTATGAAAAGAAAAAAAAAATTCGTTTTAAATAAAAAAAAAAATCATTTTACCATTTTTTTTTTTAAAAAAAAAAAAAAACTTCAAAAAAAAAAATCACCTATTTATTAAAAAAAAAAAGATTATCTACTATATAAATGATTGATAAAAACTATCGATATGAATAATTCAGCATACTGTATAAATAATTCCAGATGCAAGGTTGGAATGAAAAGATTACTTAATGTCCAGAATATATATTTATGATGAGTGCGAATTTAGAAATGTCGATCTATGAAAAAGTTGAAACATTTCTATCCCCTTATTATTCAAAAGAAACAATTATACAAGAAAATAAACCATTTGTTACATTGACATATGCACAAAGTTTAGATGGTAAAATCTCTGGGCAAGGTGGTAAACAACTTCTTTTAAGTTGTGAAGAATCAATGATAATGACTCATAGGTATCATAAACTTGAGAAAAAAGGTTATATCGTTTATGAATTTTTTTGTTTGTAAACATTAATTGATATTTTAGAATGAGAACTCTTCATGATGGAATTATGGTTGGCATCGGTACAATATTAAACGATAATCCAAGATTAACTGGTGAATATTTACTTGGTTATTTACCTAAATACGTTCTTTCTAATTATGTCGTTTTAATTCTTAGCGAGATTGTTGGAAATTGGGAAAGAATTAAAAATCAATCAACCTCAACCTATAATTTTGGATTCAAAATTGCGATTTCCTCTATCGGCTAAATTGTTAACATTTAATGAATGTAAATCACCTTGGATATTTACAAGTCATAATTGTGACAATGATAAACGAAAGGTACGTATTAACTATTGCGTTGAGTTCATAAATAAATTATTACTTGATACGAATTAGGTTGGTTATAAATAGTTATTAGAACAAGCAGGAGCGAAAGTTATTTCTATAGATTCGGATCAAAATGGTAACTCTCATCTTTTATTTTCTTATCATATTATTATATGTAATTAAATTAACATTAATAAATAATGATTCGTAGGACAACTTTCTCTTTTGCATTTATTGTCGATATTACAATCTCCACCTTTCTCAATTAAACGTCTTATGGTAGAAGGTGGTGCAAGGATTATACAATCTTTTTTAAAAAGTGGATTGCCAAACTTATTTATAATAACTATTGCTCCCGTATTCGTTGGATCAAATGCAATATCTTGTATCGGTGACAAACTATCTATAGAGGTATGTTATCATATTCTATAATTCATGATTTAATACTGAAAAATTAAATTTTTTTCTTTTAGGAGAATGAAGATAAGATTCTAAATTTGAAAAATGTAAAATATGAGCAATTAGGTAGAGATATTATTATGGTAGCAAATATTTAATTAAATAGATCATTGCACTTTCCACAAATGTTGATCATTTTTCACTGTATGTAATTGTTGGAATATTAACAAACATAATATTTATTTTTAAAAAATTTTTAATCCCACTTAATTTTAAAGAAAATTGCTTTATAAGTTTCCTTACAATTTTCTTAATCATTTAGTGGGTAAATTAATCAGCCTTGATCTATTTACTCAAAGATCTTTTTTTTTTTTAATTATGAACTATTGAGCTATTGAGCTTATTCCGCAAGGCACATTTAATGTACTTTTAATATTGACAGATTTTCTATAAAAAATAAATAAATAAATAAAAAATCGGAAAGTATACCGAATCGAAATCTTATATAAAACCAAAACCCAAAAACCTTACTAGTAAATAATGAGATTATTTATTTATTAATCATCATCACTGTCACTACTATCACTATCATCATCCTCTTTCTTCGTTTTCTGATCTCCACCTCCTCCTGCCACTGCAGCTGCAAATCCTTGTTCTCTCATTAATTTCATTTGTCCCGCAAGAGAATCTTCCTCAGGTTCTGAAATATCATCATCAAGTTCCTCTTCTGGAGGAAGTTCTGATAATTTTTTAACATCAAGCTAATTTTTTTTTTTAAACAGTTTTTTGTTAGTAATGTAAATAAAATTTATGACATTAATAAAATGTATTTACCCTTAAATCTTTTCTTATATCAGTACCAACATATGAATCACTCTTAATATATGCAACAAACGAATATAAACCTGGTTCTTGTGGTGCTTGAAATTGACGTTTAATTGTCCTAGTTGTAACAATATCTGTGACCTTCATTGGTTCAATAATAATTTTATCTTTTTTATCATCTGCCATAAATATCCACCAATATGGTTTTTTGTCTCTTGATAAATAGGGTGCATGTACAAAATCGTTCTTTTCGTTCGAAATTTGTTTATTTTTGTTTCCACCATATAACAATTCATCTTCACTATCAAGATAACTACCTTTTTCTTCTTCATCATCGTCGTCATCATTACTAACTCCATTCATTTTAATTTCCTCGGCTTTTGATTTTGAATTCACTATTCTAAGCTTAATAATTAAAGTAACGATGGATCCAGGTGTTATAATCTTATCTCCAACAACTAAAAATAATTCAAAAAGGGTTGGAATGACATGACTCTTATTTGAATGCCAATAAAACAAAAATTTTCATACCTTTGAAATATGCGCGATCTACTTGTAAAAGTGGATATAATTTAGCGATTCGCATAAGAGAGTCATATTCAGAGGGAGAAAATGATCCTTTGAATACATTGCTTAAATAATGGATATTAAAATTATCGAAATAAATAATCTTACAATAAATTATAATTTCTCATAAAAATTCAGACTAAGATTCCAGACTTACTTTCTTTCTTCTTCACTTAAATCGCGAAGTTGTGCAATATTTCTTATGTTTTTTTTTTTTATCTTCATTGTTTTTAATACATCCTGATTAATGTAAGGTAATTGAACAAGCATATTCTCTTGAAACCACATTGCTTGAACTAAAAGTTGTGAAAGCTCCATGCAACGTAAACTTGTTTGAAGCCAACGATGTGCTAATGCAATATCAAGTATACCGTTGATAAGGTGTATAGAACGCTCTACAATAAAATATTTATCTACAAATATAGCAAATAATAATATTTAAACCAATGAATGCAAAATTAAATATAAAAATGATTCAAAAAATCATACCTTTCAACAAATCTTCATCAGAAAAATTGACCCTCAATAAATGAGCATGAAGCAATGCATTTGCTTTTTGACAATATGGTGCGGTGTACTATAGATTTATTAATAAAAAATACAGATGGAAAATTTAATTAAAAAAAATCCCGAAATTGCTATGTTAAAGCTTCACACTTACTCTTTTGCTCATCTGATATTTTTCACTAAATCTTTTGTCCAATTCTTCTTTCACTGACGATGTTACTTGTGGTAACAATGTTTCATCTGATGCTCGCTGTTCCACCAATTCCTTATATTCCACTGAGGCAGAAAGCAAATCTAATATCTGCCTTATGGTGGAATTATTTCTCAATTCTTTGAAATACAAGTCCATTGTATGAGTTCTAATCTTATCCTTGGTATAAGAATTAGAACTATACCACCATCGACCCTATATAAATAAAATATCAATCTTATAATCCATTTTAATAAGATATAATCTTTATATTTATACTTACTACAAAGAAGGGAAGGCCTATTCCAAACGCAAGAGCATAAATACCTAGCACAAATGGACTATTTTTGGCTTCGATCAACCATGTCGGTAGGGCAATACCCAAAGAATAAGCTATATTTGAAAAAATACAAAATTTTTAGCTTTTCAATCAACTTTAATAACTTACATGAATTTTCAACATAATGTAATTGATTAAGAACTAACCTTGTTTACCATCGGGATGACCCCATTCCTCATAATTTTTGCGTATATCATCATCAGTCAATCTAATTAAAACGGATCATATATTTTAAGACTATTAAAAAGCATATAACACGGAACAACAAAACAATAATATTTACACTTTATAGGCTTTAGTAAAGTCAATGAATTTACTTTCATATTCAGCTTTCTGATCTGCTGGGGCCTTGTCAGGATGCCTTATAAAAGCAAATTAATAATGCTATTTAACGTTATATAAAAATAAGCACAATATTAACGATATGATAATCACCATTTTCTACTGAGCTCTTTGAAATGTTTTTTAATTTGTGGAAGTGTTGAACCCTGTAAAAATATTATTTTCTAGTAACAAATTTCTAAGGTAATTAAATGTTATGTATAAAGATACCAACCTCAGAAATGCCCAATACTTCATATGGGTCCCATACATCAATTTCAAATTTTACGGTTGTAATCTGGTAAATTAAATAAGCAAAGAATACCCATCCGACTGCAGCAAAAATAGCCCTTCATTTAGAAAAAGCAATTAAATAAATTATTGATCTTAAATAAGAAATATGTTTTTAATTTTATACAAACTTTTTGTTGATACGATCGGATAGACTCGTTTTACGATTTTTCAGAAAATTTTCTTTACGTAAACATGCTTCACAATTGCAAGTAGATTTGCGTAATGTCGAATCTATACAAAGTTTAAGATATATACATTTTTATAGGAAATACTTCAGAAGAAAAAAATTAGAGGCTTTTGACAAAAAAAAAAAAAAAAAAAAAAACCAACCCTTATTCTTATTCAAAAACAAAGAAAGAGTGGTTGGAATAAGAAATAATGATAAAAACGTTAATATAAAATAGTTAAAAGTAACGCCCTGCTCGTCGTAAATGTATCGCATTTTTTTTAAAAGAAAAAAAAAAAAAAAAGGAGAGAGAATGCTAAGTATTAATTCGAAAGGTTGAATGGAAATTTTCAAAAAATTATTGATAAAAAAACATTCGTGCAACCACGAAGCGTGGCAAGTTTCCACTGGCTAACCAATAAAAGATTTAGCTTTGATGTGTAAATAGAAAATCGATTAATTGATGTTGATCAGTATTATATGACAGACCAGTTAATTTCAATTGAATTGTTGTCTGAGAGCAATTTGTATGGGTCCAGGTCAGTGGGTTCAGTGGGTTCAACTTCAGGATTTTCAAATACAATAAATGCGATCTGCCAGGATCCTCTAATAATCATAAAGAAATAAGAGATCTTTTCATATTTAATAAAGTTGTTATGTACTATATCAGATTTAATAAATAGTGATATATCTGAAACTTTAATTATCCTGCCTTTTTCAGCATCTTATCGTTATTGTTTTACACTAAAATCAATAATGATAAAAATAGGATTATATTGTGTTTTCTGTATTTTTGTAAGAGTATACCTTAGATTCAAAATATACAAAGAACTTTCTGAATTTGAAAATATATATAGAGCCTTAATATCCATTGAAGTGAATAAATAAGGAGTTAATAAAAGTATATTTTTCAGTTACAGAATTTTCTTTTATATCAAATGCATTATCAATCATGTAAAAATATGTGAGAGCAGTAATGATATTGAATAAGTTTTCATTCTTTTTTTTACCATTATTTTTTATTTCATCAGCCCAAATTTTTTTTTTTTTTTTTAAAAATGCGGTAGTTTCGCAAAATCTTTATTAAAGATAATAATAAAAAATTACATTAAAACAGAAGTTATGAAAATCTCTATTTAAAATAATAAAAATACTATCCTAAATCAAAACTGACCCTGCACTTTTCCAGAATCAAATAAAAAAGAAAATTTACATCATCACCTTCCAGTAAATCACCAGAGAAAGAAAAGGGCTTAGTCCCTACTGCACTAAAAATTTGACCAATACAATCCTAAACAGATCATCTTAGAAATCAAGTCAGTGGAAGAAAAGTTAGAAAGAGATGAAAGAAACTGATAACCAGACGCCTCTGTATGGGAACGCTTAAGCACATCCGTAATATCATATGACTTTTCAAAATCTTTGAAAACTGAACATTTATTCAGCCAAATAATTTGTGATTGAGCAAATATAAAATACATGAAGTCAGAGATCACCGCTGTTGTAAGATCCTTTGAAGTGAGATGCAAATTGATAAAATTGTAAAGAATAGTGAGAATAAGGCTTTTGGTCAGATCCATGAATATGTAGGTAGGTGATGTTGTAAGTAGGGTTCCTCAAAATTAAATCAAATTAAACTCAAATATTTGATTAAATCAATTTAAATCAATTTGAATTTGATCGAATCGAATCGAATCGAATATAAAAAATTTTTTTAATTTTTACAATAATATATTAAAATAAAGTTATTATAAAGGTTTAATTAAGAAAATTATGAGTAATTGCATTAAAAAATTTCAAAAATAGCTTTTACAAAGTAAGTTTAGTAACAGGTGAATTTTTACTATTAAACT